GTCGTGGGCTGTCGACGGATTTTCAGCAACCTTATGAGTAGAACGTTACAAAGATAGAGCAGTCGCATCTTTTTTTTGCCGACAAGCTGACTATCTGAAAGAGCCAACGAATGATTAGCTTTCCACTTGAGTAACATAAACAGAACAAGGTCACTGACGTGTGCAATCATTTCTCGGTGGCTCTGTGGTACCAAACAATCGGTAACTTCGTCGTTGTCATCCTCAGAGGTAGAGGACATCAAGGTTGACACTGGCGCTTTTCTAAAGCTCATTTAATTATAGTCAAAGTCTCGTTCAGCTGTAGCACCCTTTTGGTGCCTAGCTGCCATGCCACACGAAGCAGGCACGAGGTCTGGGGTACTGCCAGGTCGCCCGAGCCTAGACAGGGGAAATCAAGAGGCAGAGGTCGGGTTCGAACCACGGACCTTCCGGTCAGTTGATTCGCGTTCTAACCACTTGATTCATCTCACCTCTTAGGTCTTAAAGTAAATGTAATGGAAAATGGTGAACGAGGGGGGATCTGGCGCTGACCTGTCACAATTATTTTGCGGCGCTTACATCTCCAAGCTCCCAATCGGACAATCTGAAAAGAACCCGGTGTACGGAGGAAAGCCCTTCTCCAAGAAATCGTTCATCAGTAAAAACCCAGCTAAGTGATTACAAGTAATCTGACACGGAAGTAGATATCTCATGCGCACATAGACCTAACGAGGGCATTCTCGGATTGGTCAGAATGCCAGCCAATCTGGATCGAGCATCTTTAGCTCTACGCTTCTGTAATTCTGTGATTCTGCCAACAACTTGGATGACCGACAAGTCCTACTGAACTTGGGCTGCACATCCAAGTTTCCCTCATCTCATCATCTCATTCGCCCTGTTGGAAACCAGGGTTGTGGTCTCATTTCCTCGAAGATCCTTTGAACATTTAAACAACCGGTCAGATTTTGCAACATAAATCGATCGGCACCGAATAGTCGCCTGCTACCATCGATTGTGTCATTTGCGGATTTTCACAAAGACCTCAAGCCGTGATGTATCCTTGTGTTTTTTCACTGATACATTATCGTTTTTACTGAGAATTACTGTAGGTTTTCTAGCTCATCTCTTATTTACTTTTTCAGTATCAAGAACTGAGGGTAATAGCCGTAGTATTCTAGGAATCGCGAACATTCACTGTTATCGCCCCCTCCCAGATATATGATATTCATCACATAAGCCCAAGGGCAACACAACGCTCCAGCATGCGGATAAAACTAGCCAGCCACTAAAGCCATTGATATACGTCTCCAGGAGACATCTGACAGCACAAGATTGAACTGCAACTGGTTTCGTATTTGCGAAATCTGGCGACGATTAAACACATTGTTTTTTAGGATTAACTGCCAGAACAAACCTGTTTGTCCGTTTTGATTTCAGCTGTGAAATGAAACCGGGAAGCATTGCACAGCTCTTTCCTCTTTATTGAGGATCCACGACAGTGCCCATTTTACGAAACTTCACTAGGGAGCTAAGAACCCATCGGGTCACTGGTTTAACCGTTTGGTCAGTACGTGATCACCAGGTATAGTTTCTCTGATTGATGGATGAGTGACGATAAATCCTGTCCAAGTGCGAGTCATTCGCATCGCGGTTCATCCAATCGTCGGAGAGTGGAAGGTCCCAGTTTCCAGAGACCCTGAAATGCACACTGCTGACGATTCTCAGTAGGGATGAAACAGCCACATGATAAGTCTCGACTTTTCACTGTAAACTAGTTTCACCCACAGGAAGAAATCTCCATCATCATCATCATCATCATCATCATCATCATCATCATCATCATCGACAGCATGACATCAGTGTTCACCACCCTACACCTCCAGATGTTCACTCAGGCAATCTGGATAGAAACTAAAAACAGGAACGTCGCTGACATCGGTTGACAGCCATATCTTGTAGTGTCTCCAACCAGGTACAGTGAGGATCACGCGGTCTCCATCCTGGAAGGCGAGTAGCACCGACAGCACCCAAGCGTTTCGTGATCTCCTTCAAGTCAAGCGTGGGCAACCTCTCTGTTTACGCCACTCTGAATTGGGCATGGAAAACAGTACTCTCTTCGGCAAACGATGGTTTGGCATACGCAACCCATGTCCCAACCAACGCAGTTCCTGGTGCTGGACACATTCTTCAATGGAAGAACCCGTTACACAACCAAAACGCGCTTTCTATCTGCCTCATTACGGATTCGCCGACACCAACGCACACGAGTTATGGTTCTGAGACAACGATTGTCGAACACTTGAAGACGTCTCAGTTCCGGTGCTCGAATAGGGCAAGTCTCACAACCATACAACAAAACAGCCCGTACTGTAGCTTGATACACACGTCCCTTCAGATTCAGGGATAAACCACTCTGACGCCATAGGTGTCTCAAGTTAGCAAACGCGGCCCGAGCCACCTTCAGGCATGGTTTTTTCTTCCGTTCAGAACAAGATTGAACCCGCAAATTGCATATTTAGACAGGGGTAATTTAGGTACAACTTTCACAAACCTCATGGTTGCTCATTCGTTCTTAGCGAGCTGTAACGATACCGCAATGATGTAGGCTATAAACCGTGGTTGGCGCTGGTGCTTAGAGCGAAATGTCAGGTTGTGGCCCCAGGGATTTACTTCATTGACACAGAAAGATGACGTAATGTACAGGATATTGTGACTTCGTTTTTCTCTCTCAGCAGAACCCAAAAAACCTTACATGGTAGACTTACAGAGTAGAAAAGTCCGAATTACCAGTAAACACCTCCTCCGACACGTAAATCTTGTGCTGAACACAACTACAGCACTGTCAGCACTCGTAAACTCAAGTGTTCCTTGACCTGGAGCCAGTGACGTCTCTCACTTGATTTCTTGTTTCAGGTGCACCGTCCTAACCTCTGTACCTGTACAACTTGAAAGGCCCTTGAAAAAAAGCCTTTTCGCCAACCTACCTTTGTTTCTTACTTCAAATGGAAATTTTCAAATGTTACGATTTTGGCCGGTCGTATTCCAGAATGAACTGAAGTCGAGCTAACCGATTCGGTGACGTTTTACTTCACACTCTAGTGAAGAGCCTTGACTAGTTGCCAAAAAAAGGCTGCAAAAAACAGGCAGTTTTTAGGTTCCTACAGGGATGTGAACAGATACACACTATCAGGAAGGTCATATTCCTGAAAGTAACCTCAGAACACCCGGAACCTACTCTTTCACCAAAATCTCAAAAGACCAGTCAATTCAGCGAAAGCTGATGTGTGTTCTTGCACGCCACAGAAGCACGACCGAATGTGATCAGCGTTCAGGCACTTCATAGAGGCACGATCGATGTTGATGGGTGTTCACTAACGCCTGGATCAATGTCAGAAAGTCCCCTCTAAATAGCGTGGAGCCGTTGTAACTTGTGCTCACGCACTCACACTCTCGCACCCGCTTGTTTGGAATATAGCGGTTCTGTTCCCTTCTGTGGGGCTTTTTTCTCCGGCACTAGGCACTGGAGCGGGTTAGAAGCAGGTAATACAGATTGACGAATCAGCAGATGTAACACACACAGATGCACGTTTTCGGTTCACAGCTGCTATGTCACCCGAAAGAAGCACGAGGCCTGGGATACCGTTAGGTTGCCCAAACATAGACAGGGAAAGTCGAGTTCGAACCACGGACATTCTGGTCAGTAAATTCTCGCCCTAAAACACTGTGCCATCTCGCCCAGAAACTTCATTTGGCAACTTCACAAGAGGGCTTCTTTCAAGCTTTTTTTACCTATTCTTTCAAGTCAGTCACTGAACAGTTCTAGGGAGGTGTCTATCCTACTCTTCAACGGATCTTTGCAACCGAGGCTACCACACACCTTCTGGCCGGATGGAGTGCCGGTTCTTTATGTCATCATGTATCTAACAATCGGTATGGTGCACGAGGAAAATTTGTCTGTCTGCTTCACCGAGAGTAGAAACTGTGCTCCCTGAAAGAAACTACTCACAAGGTTGCTGACAATTCACAGTTGGTTTCACCCTTCCGCTGTGAGATGATCAGTTGAGTTCTTTTAAGAAAATATACAGTGCGATGTCTAGCATATCGGTCTTTATGCAGTACATTCAGTTGACAAATATCAAAAGAGAGGTTCAGATGGGATTCATCTTAGTCTCTCGTGAAATATAGACTGGTGTGCAAACAAGTGCAATTTGCGAAAGTTATAATCATTGCTCCTCTAGGTAGAGATCGAATACTCTGCTGTCTTAGTCCGGTCGGTTACTTGGATGAATCGATGGGGCTTGATTGCCCTACTATTGTCTCTCTAAGTTCTTAAAATCCAATGTGTCTATCAAACCACAATCACATCAACATTCAGTGCGCCTGATGATCACTGTTCAACTACACTAACGAATCGATCACTTGCACGGACGATCAATCAATTTAGCTTTCAAACTCAAAAGGGCTGCCGTATGCCACAATGTAATGTTCAATACAGTCAGGTGACTTGACTAAAGACAGCCGAGGGTGGATCGATCAGGATACGATGGACAAGGTTTGGTATAATTCATGGCCCGTAAAGTAACAGGATCTGCCCCTGTCCGAGGTGATATGGTCGTGGAAAGCCTCAATGAAGCCAGAAGGATGAATTAAATGAGGATACACATGACTGACCTCAGTGAGGTAACTAATTATTTCACGGTTGCGTACACACCTGCTTGCATTCCCACCGAACAGTATACACCCTATACTCCATCAACTAGGGAGTGTGATAGCCCAGTCTGATCACAGTAGAAAACCCTTTAAAGTTCAAATTGTGCCTTTCGTTAGCGGTATGGAAAGGAGTATAAATGGTCAACTGTCCACCCACTGTGGTCACTTGGTTTCACTTACAACAAAGCCTTGGGGTCAGACTCGTTTGTAAGATTTCGGAATACAAAAAAACAGCAGTGATCATAAATCTTTATTTCGGTCACAGGCGACTTGTCTGTCTGCCTCGTGCCTCACAGCTACATGCGTTTGTGAAAAAACGAATTTGAGTCCCATCACAAAAGGGGTGAAAAATCAGAACTGTCATTAATCACGGTCATTTGTCTTTCCTCCAGACCAAAACGTCGTACTGTGTTCGCGGGATTTCAGTGCCATTCAAGGGGAATCGAGCATTCATTTCTCCTTCTTTTAGCTTTGATAATCAAAAGAGGAGAAAAAAGACAAGTCAGTTAATCTTGTAGCTAAGAGTTCATTCAAAAAGGATTGGAGGTGATGTTACTATATTTAGACTTGGATATTTAGCTGTCCAAAGTCCTGATCAATGGCCTGTCGGAACGCGCCACCTGACAACCACTGCTCTGCTGAACAGAGGGGGGGGGGTAAACAATTCGATAGATATCGACAGTCTGTCGTTGGTTTTTAGGAAGATCTCTATGGTCTCGGAGACACTTTGCCCGAACTAACTCTACGGTCAACGAAATATCTGCCCGGTATTTACTCGTTATCAGGAAGGTCAGATTTCTGAAAGCAACCACTGGATGCCCGAAATCAATTGAGACCCTCAGCTCCGCTAGATGTTGACCAGACAGACAACGCCCCCTCAATATGCAGCGCGTCGTAGCCTCTTACCGAAGCCAGACCGCGTGCGTCAGCATTGGATCAAGTTCAGTGTCTTTCCAATAAATAGCTTGAGACCGTTGTACTTTCGCACTCGTACGCACTCACGTTCTCGCACTCTCGCTTGTTTGGAATATAACTGTTGTGAGTCTGTGTGAGTCTGTGAGTCTTTTTTCCGGCATAAAGCATTGGAGCTGTCCGCAGTCAGATAAAACAACTTGGCGAATCAGCAGATATAACAATCGTTGACATACAAAACCTTCCAGTGAATGCAAAAACACCCTATATACTTGGGCACTAACCGCTGAGAAGTGCTAAAAACTGATGGAATAAAATTTAAACGAAACAATCAGGAAACTAATCACAGTATATCAGCCTATTGATTCATTGAGTGATTTATCTCTATCAAAGCCCAAAAATTCCGTCATCTCTTGCTAGCCTCACATGTTACCCCGGCAGTATACGAAAGAAGAGACTCAGCTGGATTCAACTGAGTTCCCTGTCAAAGCCAACTTCGCATTCAATCTGGGTTCAATTAGAAGATAAGGTTGACGGACAGTTTTGGAGTGCGCCTTCCTTAGAAGTCCTAAGAGGAGCGAAACCGGTCGTGGGCTGACAGAGGGTTTTCAGAGCTGCCCAAAGTTCTGTCTTCAATAGATTAGGGATAGATAAGCATCTAGTGAGCCAGACGCACAACTTGCAACCGAATGGACAGCCCGAAGGAGGGGTGGGACGCAAATCCATGATATACCGATATCTGAGTGTCCCTAGGTCTTGGTGGTCGTTGGTCGATATAAATCCTGAGCTGATAGATTTTGCCTCAGAGCATTTGCCAAGGCTCAGTTGCCACAGTATTTGGTTGACAACGGACAGTTCCTGTAGCGCCTTTCCTGAGTGCCTTTGTTCCCCTTCAAGTTAGGTACCTAGTTGCCTTCTCTAAAATTCAAGGAAGACCAAATCTTTCCGACTATTGGTTGTGCAACCAACCAATAAAGGTCGACTATCCACGGCTTCTGAGATTACTCACTCAATGGATTTGCTAAAACTTAGACTGGATTTCATTGTGAACAGACTTCGATGCAAAAATTCGCCCATTGGTTTTGTAGTGAACAAGTACCATCAGTTTAAAGATATACCTTTCAGAGTTTGTTGAGAGAGCTTTTTGTAACGTTAAACTGGTCTGGTAAACAGATATAAGCACCTCACTTTCTTTTCTGCGTTTGGTTAATTTACATTCCCCCTTTTAGTGCTCACTCATTTGCATCGTGTCTTGTCGTATTCCACTCCATATTACACCCAATTTCGTTTATATTGATTTTTCAATCCACTGATATCTGTTCAACTCGAATACACTGGCCACTAGCGTGTCATCACGTGATTCACTTGAGACAACAATTTCTCCGCATCTCTTAAGCTGCCTCACGCACGTGACATCGCTGTCTGTCATCTGAGTTCGGCTCCAAATGTGTACTTTCGAGTTTTCCCACCAGAAAGAAAACTGTCCCATTTTATTACCTTTAGGCTCAAAAGTTGCGATAGAAAACCATAAAATTATGGAGGTCACACGGTAGATGGTATCCACTTTTTGGTGTCCTCTTTTCTTGAGTCAAACTGATCTGATAATTTACTAAAGTTGGTTCGACGGTAATGAGAAGATAATGTGCTCTAAGGGTGTCTCTTGTAGTAACACAGTTGAGAACCCCTACCTTTCAGACACGGAAAACCTAATCTCGGTACAACAAAACTTGACGAAATGCTTTCAAAACTACACAAGGGCAAGTGAACGCCGAAATGGCACCTCTTTTGTGACACGGAGAGATTTGTCTTCAGTGGCCTTGAATTGTTCTTCTCTGAGCATTTAAAACGGTAGACCGACTGTCCAAAGATTATTTTTGGCATCTTTTTACTGTGCGTTCCTGCGCGACTTACTTTACCGACCACCCACTGACCGTTGATAAACGCCCGAGCGATGTACAGCGGCTGCCCGTCTCGACCAACTCCAGACACAACAGCGTTTGGCGCGACCCGACCACATTGTTGCGATATCCAGCTGAAGCTGTTGAAAAAGGATGGAAAATTGAGTGGATAGGGGAGCTCCCAAGCTGTCTGAAAATTGTGCTGTTACTCTTAAGGAGATAATGATGAGCGCCACCAGGCAAAACTAACATTTTGTATGGCCACCAGAGATCTGGGCTGAGGAGGTTAAGTAGTTAACTAATCGCTCAGCTGTAACACCCTTTCAGTGTCCAGCGGTCTTGACACTCGGAGAAAGTATGGAGGGCTGGGATACGTGTAGAGGCAGAAACCGTCGAAATATCGGGTTCAGGTTCGAATACTGACTTTCCAGTCAGTAATTTCGCGCCAAAGGGAAAAACAAACCAATCAGATTAGTTCAGACTGATAAATTCGGACTGACCACTTCTCGTCTCCAAAGCCAGATTCACACAGAACCTCATATTTCGGTTTATTGAATTCCCTTCCAGAATGACAGATTTGAGCTCTGCATTCTCCGTGCACTAGTTTTCCGGGCATGACTTCGCCAAAGTGTTTGGCTCGGCAAACATACACCCCTTCTGCGGCTTCAACGGTCCTCGGCGAAATGTTCCCGTCTTGCTGCGGCACCCAGGATAAGGTCATTTGTAGTCCTCTCCCGATTCGAGCCATACAAATGAAGGACAGCTAAGATTTTGTCCGTTTTTACTGAGGAAACGTGAGAGAAGATGGAATATTGAACCCGGGTTTTAAAACATTAAATTTCTACGACCAATGTAGGTTAGGGGAGTGGAGCATGTTGACTTAACAAAGAATTCCATACCTCTGTTACAAACCGATGTAGTAACGTCAAAAAAGGCCATCGAATCCAAAACTATGTCGCTTAATACTAAACGGAAAGCATCAACAGGACTTAGTGTTATTTGCATCAAAGTCACAGAACCTTGAGATACGTTATTACAACCGAGACACAAACGCGAACTGGAGGAGTGGTTCAATTTTTGCGCTAAAATGAAGGTAAAACCTATCGAACCAGTTTCCCTAACACGATTAAGTCGACCACCGAATTTGCCCCATAACTGTAAGCCAAGACTTCTCAGAGTTACCGTTAATACCGAGAAAGACCTGGAGAGCATACTATTATCAGCATTCCAACTTAGGGGGGAAGCTGACAATGGCGAAAGGATTTTCGCTGATATACCGTGTTCGGAAAGATCGCGCAAAAATACACCTCAACCTACAAACTCAACTAACAAACATACAAATGACCGCAGTCTGATCATCTTGGGTGTTCCGGAACCCAACGGAACGTCAGATAAAATAGCGCAAAATACACAGGACTACATGCAGTGGCAATTTCTATGCAGTACACTTGAAATTGAAAACGTGGCCGTGGTTGATACTTATCGGATTCCGAAATCACCAAAATATTTGGGTACCGGCCCGAGGCCCCTGAAACTCACACTACTTCGTGGTGATATGCTAAACTTAATCCAAACACAATGGCAACGTCACAGGAACTTACTCCCTAGGGAGTTAAGGATAAGCACATCCATGCGGAACAATATACCCACAGAAGAGACCAAGGTTAATGAAGATGAAGCCGTAGGTGAAACTTCAAAAAACGACCAGCTGCCGACTCTGCCAGGGTCGGCACAATTATAACCGCCCAACCTGCACATTATCTTGCGTACTGCCCAACACTGCTGTCAATAAACACCATTAAATGTTTATACACGAACGCGCAATGCTTGACTAACAAGATTCCAGAATTATCTGAATTGTGTGAAAAGCATTTGCCAAACTTGATTGCTATCAGCGAGACTTGGTTCCAGCCACACTTATCGGATAGTGAACTTGCCATCCCTGGAATGACGCTTCTTCGTCGGGATCGCATTTCTCGGGGAGGTGGTGTAGCTATTTACCATAGCAGGCAACTATTGTGCAAAGAGCTAACTGATGAAGATTTGATACTATCGGATACCTTGTGGTGCTCGTTAAAGACGGTAGCAGGAAACGACTGTGTTGTTGGTGTGATCTATCGACCACCTTCAGCGGAGGAACTGCACAATTACACCATAATGGAGAAGCTGCGCCTCGTGGCTTCCCGGTATAAAAGTAAGATACTAATTATGGGTGATTTCAATCTCCCAAACTTGCTACGGACTCAACAACATCCGATAAATTCCCTCGATTGTGCCTTCCAGGAGACGTTACATGATCTTGACTTTCACAATCATATATCATGCAACACGCGGTATAGAGGATCAGATATACCTTCCATTCTGGACCTCATCATAACAAGCGAAGAGAACGTTGTGGAAAACATCGCATATGAAAGTCCATTAGGATCGAGTGATCACGTCGTTCTCATTTTTGATTATGTTTGTTCGGCGGTGAGACCTAATGATGAGCTTAAAATGATCAGGAAAGTGAACACGAAAGCACTGTCGAATACCCTGAGTCATTGTACGGACTGGTATTCAGAAGGTCCAGACGTCCACCAGCAATGGTCTAGCTTCATGGGGAACTTGGTCAATAAAATACGTTTGCATTCCCACTTCGTTCCAAAGAATACTCAGATGGGATTCGATTTTAAGTTACGAAGCAGAACCCGAAAATGGATTCTGGAGCGAAATGCAGCCTGGGCTGAATACCGACGTCACCGAACAACAACAACATGGGAAAAATATCGGTTACTAAGAAATAAAGTCAACACGCTGGTCGCGAGCGACAAAAAGGATTACCAGCTAATGCTTTTAGAGAAAATGGAAAAAAATCCGAAGCTTCTCTATTGGATCATTAATAATAAGGCGTCTGTGAAACCGGGTATTTCACCTCTGCATACCCCTAATGGACTGACGGCCACTGCGTCAGCTGCAGCTGAAGAACTGGCGGAGTTCTATTCCACTGTTTACTGTCAGAAGGAATATATAAGCCGGATGTCGTTTATGTCTCCCTCACCGCCCACCTCCCTACATGAAGTAATTGTGACTCCAGAATGTGTACTCCGAACGTTACTTGAACTAAATCACAGAAAATCTCCCGGTGCCGATCAGATAACACCATTTATCCTCAAGCAGTGTGCTCATTCCCTATGCACACCTCTCGCTGAGTTATTCAATTCGTCCCTAAATAACGGTGTGGTTCCCAACGACTGGAAGAAGGGCGTTATCACTCCCATATACAAAGGAGGTAATCGTTCGGTCGTGTCAAACTACCGGCCGGTGACTCTGTTGCCGGTGATCTCCAAAGTGCTTGAGCGACTGGTGGCAAACAAAATCATTAAACACTTAGAGGAAAACGGATTGCTTTCGGCTGCCCAGCATGGTTTCAGAAAAAACAGATCCTGTCTGTCCAATCTCCTCATTACCTTAGACGACTGGACGCAAGCTGTGGACAATGGAAATCCCGTTCACGCATGCTATCTAGACATCTCCAAGGCATTTGATCGCGTGAACCATAACATATTGTTGCAAAAACTCGAGCATTATGGTATTACGGGAAAGCTGCTGGCTTGGCTTGAAATCTATTTGGCTGACCGAGACGCGCGTGTATGTGTTGACGGCGCTCTGTCCAAGCCAATTGCAGCTACAAGTGGAGTACCCCAAGGCTCTGTTCTTGGGCCTACTTTATTTTTATTATACGTAAACGATATACCTGAGCTCGTGAGCAGTAAAATCACTTTATTCGCAGACGATATCAAGATATGGTCAAGCATACGCACCATTGAAGACAGTCACCGATTACAAAAAGATCTCGATACACTTTATGATTGGTCACTGAAAAACAGACTACCGTTTAACCTCCAAAAATGTAAAATGCTCCGTGTAGGGAAGCCCTTTGCATATAACTATACGTTGGGTCCACAACCACTTTCTTGGACTAGTGAAGAAAAAGATCTTGGCGTGTGGGTCAGCAGCTGTTTAAAAAACTCCTTGCAATGCACAGCCGTCTACAAGAGGACCTCACAAGTCCTGTCGCTCCTAAAACGGATTTTTGGTCGTTTCACTCGACTGGCACTGCCCCGAGTAATCAATACCTACATCCGACCAACCATGGAATACGCTATACAAGCTTGGTCACCATGGCTTCAAAAAGACATAATTCTTCTACAGCGAATATATCATCGAGCCACGAAGCTGGTAATTGGATTGCAAAATAAACCATACGAAGACAGGATTGCCAGTCTCAACCTATTTGACTTCTACTATCGGCGCATCAGGGGAGACCTAATTCTAACATATAATATACTGAAGACACCTAATCATCCGCTGGAAAATCTTTTTTTCCGACGTCGACCACGAACGGGCAGGAGGCGTGACTTTTCGCTCGCGGTACCTCACTCGAGGGTGAACTGACGACGGAACTTTTTTGCGGTCCGTGTATGTTTCATTTGGAACTCCCTACCTCCCAATGTTGTACATTCGCCGAGTTTAACCATTTTCAAGAACAATTTAGATGCATATCTTATGTCCAAACCGAATCTGGAACTGTTTAACTCCATGTGATACTCAGCACACATTACGCATATTTTTGTGTCCCTTTGTATATATACGTTCACCCTATGGTCGTTGTAAAGTACACTGCTTTTTAGACCATTAAACCTTGAATTACCTTGAATTAAGTCGATCCTCGATCGCAAAACTTTACAGTGGTTCTGATTGGAAAGTATCACTGTCCATTCTGAGGTGTGTGCGTCACCAACCTTCGTTATTTTACCAAAACTGTCGAACCAATTCTTTCGGACTTAGGTCGCGGCTTGAAGGGGTAAGCGGGTACTGTGACTAGTGTTTGAACGACCCCATCAAGAGGGGTGATACTCTTGTGGCTGAGACACTCGGTAAATAACCACCATGCTACCCGAAAGAAGCACGCGAGCTGAGATACCTGAAGGTTCTCCCAGAAGAGTTCGGGTCGGGTCAAACCTTCGAGATCAGCGAAAAGATGGAACCTGGTACGCGCCGAAAGCCTGATATTCTCGAGACAAGTCTAGAAAAAGTGGTCAGTTTATCACAAGACACGTGTCTAATCATTGAGCTTCACGAAAAGCCCAAAGATGGTGTAAAGCCACACCATCTACCACTTACACTTTGTCATAAAAACTGCATCTGAGTCGCTTGAAGTTTCACCGCTTAACCGAGTGAACGCGTAAGCCATCATTTTCACCATAACTGATAAAGATTTGCTTGAAGTTTGTTTGAAAAGTCGTTCGGATACAAGGTTTTGAAATTGGCTGTGGAAATGTAGTTCTTGCCGAGGTCAGCCACATGTGCATGGTCCTGTTGTTATGACTACTCACCTACTCACCAATTCGGTTTCCACACCTGGATCTCTTAGTTATGATATTTTCTTAACAGAGGCCGTTTCGTGCTTCGTTTGGTACGATATCCGAGCAAATGAGGAGGAATAATTCCTTCAATGAAACTACTTTACTCATGACTTCTCGACAGCCCACAACCGGTTCCGCCTTTCTTGGGGCTCATCTGATAGGCGCGGTCACCGAATTTCCGTCAACCCCATATTCTACAAGGACTCAAATTGGACTGTTTTCAAGAAATACACTCATTTGCAAATCAATTTGGTTTTCACGAGGGATTCAACTGAATCTCTCGTTTGTGATATTCTTCAATTGAATATGCTGCACACAGGCCGCCTCTTATTTCAGTTGG